AGTATATCAACCTGCCCCCTCACCACCACCCCACCGTCCAAGGAAGTCTTTCAGACTGGGTAGAGGAAATTTCGGTTGTTCCATGCCCAGTGGAGCTCCACACAAGGAGTCAGCCCTGGGAAAACGTAATCAGCTCATATTTGTTGAGTTGTCATTGTACTCTGTGGGCTTAGATAGAGTATACTTAATCCAAATGTCTCAATTCTTTCAATTTGGTGAAGAGGCTTTTAATGCCACTCTGGACACTCCATTTTCCTCTTCTGAGATGTGCATATGGCAGACAGAACATTCAAACATAAATACCATGGGAAAATATAAATAAAGGCATTTCTCCAATAGAGAACACTGAACAGCAAATGGAAGAGGCAGTTTTGAACTGTTTTGAGTTGGCTTCTTCCCACATTAAGAATAGACAGATGCAGAGGCAGGTGGATCTCTGTGAGTTTGAAATCAGCCTGGTCTATCTAGTAAGTTCTAGGCCATCCAGGGCTACATAGTGAGATCCTGTCTTTAAAAACTAACAAGACCATAAGGAAGAGACGGGAACCTCTGGCTGCAGCCCCGAGGAAGAAAGACCTTTCTCTCAGTCCCTGAAGCCTAGTCTGTATTTAAGCTCTCACTGGGACGAAGGAGTGCTGGGTGACCTGGATTTACTTGAAGGCTTCCTGAAGCCCAGGGACTTGGTCTGATCCTCACCTGAGTCACACCCACTGGACAGCAGAGAACAGCAGCAGCTGTGGAGCTACAGGACCTGCAACAGCACGACACAGAGATGCTTAGAGACTCTGCCATGTCTGCTTCTGTGTTGAATCAGATCTTGATGAAAATCAACTCACACACACAAAGGCCTAGACATTTGAAAGAGCCTTAGCCCTGAAGCAAGCTAGAGCAGCAGACAGGTCATGGCCTCCAGCTAGGCAGAGCTGCCAAATGCCTGGCAGTGGCTCTCCCAGCCCACTCCAACAGTTTCTTCCAATTGCAAGATCATCCCATGTGAATAGGACAAGGACTCTAAATGGACTGAGTCCCTGACAAAAAAAAAAAAAAAAAACGATCTGTCAGCAGGTGAGGTCAGGCCTCCTGACCTGCTCAAGGCAGCGGGTAGCAGGGCACTGAGCCTGGTACCTCACTTCACGCAGGTTCTTTGAGAACACCTTGAGAAGAGAAACGAGGGCCACCTCATGAGACAAAGACAGGCAGGGCCACAGCCCAGAGCAGTGGCTGAACCAGGTGTGAAAGCATCAAAGGCCAAAACAAATACAAGGAAAGCACTGCCACTTACCTCTGACTGCAACAGAGTACAGAGCGAGCCACAGAGGATAGCCACCCCCCTGGGCTTTTATAGGCCACCACTAACCCCCTGGGCTCATTCTTTCTCTATATTTGGAAAGAGAATGAGTGACACCACAAGCTGAGAACTGGCCCCTTCCACACGTATTTTTTTGTTGTTGCCAAGGGAAAAGTATATATAGAAATGAGCAGGGTTCTAACCCATTTTTCCAACTGTAGAAAGCTGGGAATTTGAGATGCCTTGCTCTGCACTCAGGGTTGGGGCTTCTATACCTGATACAATGGGATTGCCTTTGCCTTAGGAGCCCTGCCTGACTCCATCCTGCAGGTCCTCCCACCCTGGAAATCAGTGGGGGCCACTACCACTTAGGAACAGGGGGATCAGCTTGTTGTGCTATTTGCTTAGGAATCTCATCACATGAGAAAATGAATAAAATCAGATTGAACCTGTTGAAATCCCGTTGGGATTACGAGCCAGTCATCACAAGCCATGGTTATTGCAGAACAGTTCCACTGTGAAACTTGTGCCATTGAATAATAGGGTTTTTTTTTTCTCCTTTTTTCTTCTCTCTCCTTCTTCTTTGCTTTGTGTCTCATTATTGTCATTATTAACTTAATCCTTTCTTAAGCACTAGTAGGACCAACAAGAAAGTTAATGACAGGGAGCTATGCCACCAACCCATGTTCAGAGTGACAGCTGCTTAGGGCCTGTGGTTATCAAGACATATTACCAATTAGGAAAGACCAGCTGCCAGCCAGGATGGGGGATGAGGGGGCACGATGGTGGCCTGCGAAGAAAGGGAGGGTGGGTATTATCTAACAGATGTTGTCATTTCTAAATCAGGACTGGACTATTAAGACAAGATTTAAGGTATATTTGAAAGTTTTGTCCACTTCCATTCCGCTGTTTGTTTCCTAACCCGCTCTTCGGGGTGAGCAGCTGAAGAGGCACCCCATAGTTGTTCATTTAATAGAGAACCAAGTGCCGATATAGCCCACTTGAGAATGAGGATCCTCCCTGCCCAGCCTACCCACACACAGCTGAGAAGCGGAAGCTAGGTGAGGAAGGTAGAGAACAGGACAAAAGTTTTCCTAAGGAGCATTTATTAAACACCCTCTGTATGAACTTTCCTATCTAGGATGCTTCAAGATGATACACTGAAATTGGAAGATAGTCTTCCCCCAACAGAAACCACATTATGGGTGATGAGTCATAGAGACTTCAGAGATTCATTTCCAAGAATTAGGCAATTTCAGATCAGAGCAGCACACATTTATATATCCAGTGAGGCCAGGCAAGAGAAGTGACTGGAGAGTATGCTGAGATTTGCCAACGCGTGTGCTACCTGTGGAGTCGCATCTTCTCATTGCTCCTCTAGCTCCAGTTTGGACTGAAATGTCCATCTTCCTTCCAGCACCATCATTCCTGAAGTGTCCATCCATCACCTGAAAGAGCATAGGCTTCCAGCTCTGAATTTCCTGGCCAGTGACACATTGTCCCAAGCTTCCATGCTATCTCCTGTCCAGATCCTGGAAAGAGATGAGCAAAACAGACATGGGGCAGCAAGGCACCACCTAGGGAAAAGATGTTAGCAGGCTCCCAAAGACAAAACAAGAGGCTGGGACTATGTCTTAGACACTGATATACAAAGGCAGAGAGATAGGTGCCTCCAGGTTCCTCTTCATCATCTGCAGTCCTTGTTTGGAGGGCCTTGTCCTGTATTGCCATCCATTATCTACATAAATGGAACCAATCTCATCTCCAGGATTCAGAAGAGAAATGTTCTGCATAAGTTGCTTTTCTAAAGTCAGCTATCCTTTCTTCTTGCCATCAGACTCATTTGTTGCCATCAAGTAGACCTTAAGCCTGGCAGAAGGCACGATGGAGTCAAAGATGCCACACTGAGAGTTCCCACAAAGTACTTGCTAAACACCTTTCCTTAAGTGTAAGGAATTGGAGGCAGGAGAAAGAGGAAGGTCCCAGGGGCTGTGAAGAGAGCAGCATCGGGGACAGAGGACAGCTCTCCAGAAGTTCTGAGGAACATGGATGACAAAAGTAACCATGGCCCAGAAAGTACATAAAGGGTATGTGGAAGGAACCGAGAGGCAGAAGTGCTCAGAGCAGTGGTAGGCATGGCTTGCTACAGAAAGAACATGGGGCTGAGAATTATATGCACTGTAGTTGTCTGATCCTAAACCATAGGATAGGACATTGTGCTTCCGGGACCTGTTCTCTCACCTGTGAAATGAGAGTGATTTGTGTATCTCACAGACTAGTTAGGTGCATTTCGTAGGGCATTCAAGTATTTGGCACACCAATGTTTGTCAAATGTGAGCTGTCTTCTCTACTTGGATAAATTACAGAATGAGATGACTCTCTTTCTAAGTGGTAAACTTGAGTGGATTATTCTGAATATATGTTTACAGAGAGGAAACAAGATCAGATAATATATTTTAAGGTATCTATCTAAAGAGAAAATCTTAGAGATGAGATTTTTGCTACCAGAAGAGGCAGCTTTCTGGGGAAAACTGGATGCTCTCTTGGCATGGAATTCTCCTTCTGATAAACAGGGGACAGATGACATATAGTATATTATTAGCCATCTCTGGGGGAACAGAGAAACCCTTGTTCTTTGAGCCATCACACAAGCAGAGCTAATCCCCACAGCCGGAGCCCAGGACCTCATTTATCCCTTAGGAGCTGGAAAAAATGAACTGTGTCTCAGGAATGCAGGCAGGCTCAGGAGGTCAGGTGCTCACCACCCGCCCTGGGATGCCTAGCTGCTTCCTCCCTGGCTATCTGCCTCCTGTTTGATGTCTGAATCCACAATGTGGATGCTGAGGCTCCCTGCCATGCAGCAGCATTCCCAGGACCACTGTGTGCCAGAGCATGAAGTCAGCTTCAGTGAACACATGTCTCCTGGATCAAGTGCCTTCTCCATGCCCCACTGTGATGGGGATCCAGTGTCACTGGAAATGAGGGACTTGTTACTCTGGTCTCAAACCATTCCCTGGTTCTGAGGTGAAAGGCAGGGGTCCTGAGCTAGAGAGGAATTCAAGCAAAGAGAGGCAGGCCAAAGCTCTTCCTTCAGTTCAAGTTGGCAATGTATGCTTTCCCTGCTTTGTTGTGTTGTTTTTATTGAAATAGTTTTCAGTGTACAGGTAAGTTCAAGCGTCACAAATGACTTCCCATAGGCAAGGGCCACACTTTGGATGCTTGGCCAGTTTTGTCCGTTCTTCTGCCCCCCTTCCTCCTCTGCCTGCCCCCTCCTACTCTCCCTCATCCTCCTCCCTCTCCTTCTCCTCTCCTCTTCTCCCCCCTCCTGCTCTTTCTTCTCCTTTCCTCCTCCTTTCCTTCTTATCATCATCTTCTCTTTCTCTCATTTTGTTGTATATTTGCAAGTAAGTAGAAGCAGACGGGAACCTTCACTTTTCATTATGCACCTCCTAAAGATAAGACCAATCTCCACAATGCATTTCTCCACCTAATGAAATGAACGATAATTTCTACATCATTTCTTTTAGTCCGATCCCATAGTCCATAAATTTGTCCCATTTAGACCTCTTTTCCCTGATGCTAGGAATGAATCTACTTTGGGGTACTTTGTGGCTGCATCTCTTTTGTTTCACAAAACATTCTTCCTCCTGATTTTTTGAATCCATTTTTGAGTGATGGAAACATACATGGAGTGTGTTTTACATACAAAGCATAGAACCAAAGAGTGCAAAGTGGAGGACCCATGGAGAGAAATATCTCTGTCTTCAAGGAGCTCTGTGTCTCTTGGGGTGGGCAG